TGCATTTTGACAGGTTTGCTACATCATAGATAAAAGTCTGGACTTCTCCCACATGTTTTTTAAACGCATAAACCATCTCCGGTCTCATTCTGTGGTCAAATTATGCTCACAACTGTAAACATAGTAGCCCCAGACTGAAGAGAAGAGACATGACGCTGGAGTTCTAACGCAGGAGATGTTTATTTACCGTCAGTACCAGATCCTAGCCAGGCTGGCGCCACCTAGTGCTTCCCCTCAATTTCATAATTTAATTTCTGTCCAGCGACTAGCTCAGGAATCGGAATACACTAGATGGTTTGCAAGAACCTCAGAAGTTGTAGACCGTGCACCAGCCAACCGGCGAAGAGCTGTGAAGCCATGACCTCAAACTCAAGCGCCTGTCTGGGTGTCTTACGTGATACAGCACAACAGTAAACAAAGCGGTCGAGATGGATGTTGACGAAGCCATTCATTCTGTGTTGACAACAATTTCCAAGACTGAGGATTTAAAGCCGGAAGAGAATTTTTGGTGAATTTGATCAAGAGGAAAGACGTTATTGCCCGTCTTCCTACAGGATTTGGTGCATTACTTATATCACGACCAAATAGCAGTGACTGGTTAAATAAAAAAAGAACCTACCATTGAGCGAACGAATCCTAATGCTGCAAAGTCAGATGGTTTCCATGAAGTTAAACTGACTGATGAATCAGGCTAACAGGAAACAGCACGCTGAGACATTCCAGCCTCGTGCAGTCCAGTGTTTGTTGTAGGAAGTATTATACTTCTGGTGATGTAGGCTTAGATAACATGGACTGAGCTGGCAGTGAGTGTCCTTGTACAATTTCTCCTACAACAAAGGATGCATGGCTCTGTTTATTCCCATTGCTGACAGCAGAGGGAGCACCAGTCCCTATGGGGAATAAATGGGGGTATAGTTTAATAAGTATGCAGACATTAAGGTGGACTTCGCAACTTTTCTGGTGGAGGGTACACTACCTACATGTCTCCATTAGAAATTATTGCTCCATGGAGATTGTTTTATGGACTTTAAACATATCCATCTATAGGGCTGGGTATCATAAAGAATTTGCCGATACGATACATACCTTGATACAGTGGACTTTCAATTCAATATGATATATTACAAATCAATTCGATACAGTTCATTAAAAATAAAGGCTGAGTCATGACTGTGATACTAAAAGTGTTTGTTAAACCACTTCTTGTACAAAGTGATTATGAAACACACTCATTTTACTCATTAGAACAGTGAAAATTCCACTAAATAAGCAACAAAACTGCAGCGCTGTAACAAAATAATTTAGTAAAATATACCAAAAAACATTCTTGGCGATATATTGATACAGCAGCCCACAATATCGATAGTGTATCATCACATTAAGCGATATGATGTATCAATATTTTGATATTTTTGCACACCCATATCCATGTAACATTTATTCATTATGGGTGTTTCAAGTTGCTCAAAATCCTTCTCTGAATAGGGGAGACTCTCCACAGATCTGAATTGTAATGTCACATAGCGTAGTAACCTGCTTGTCTCTCTCCTGATAGATGGTTTTGACAAGCAGGTGGCGGACCCTCCACTAGAAATGTTTTGTACTGCACCTTTTAGTTAGAAAGTTAAAGAAATATCAACATATTCAGTTACAGAAGACAAATTGGATATCAGCCCAACCTTTCAGAAATGACTACTGAATCTTCTTGTAAATTGTCAAATGTCTGTCTCTGTATATGATTTTAGTCTTATGTTTACATATCTTCCCTCTCTCCACTCTTGGCCCGGCTTTGGCCTGTCTTTGCCCCCGGCCCCCTGCTCTTCCTCTGGCTTGGCTGGGATGAGAAGTCAGGAGCAGACACAATGAGAACCAGCTGTGTGTGTGTTTATCTACATGTCTACAGATTATGGCCTGACTTCTGCTCTGGAGCCAAATCAAAGATGCGCCGTGTAACTTTTTCGGTATTATTGCAATAGAGATGATACTGCGGTGTCTAGAATATTCCACAGTTTGGCATTAATATCAACTTCTGTGTGCAGACCTGAGCTGTAACATGGTATAGTGGTGCTGCCTGCTTGTCTCCATGGAGTTAGATAAGTTTAATGCCATGCTGTGGTGCATTTGAGGCATACCAATAACCTCTCCATGGCGATGAGGTATGTGGCTTAAATGTTATGTAGCTCCCCTTTAAATACACTATAATTTTGCAGTTTTTCAGTGTAGCCATCATGAAGAAATTGATGTGAGTAGTAAGTATTAGTAGAATTTCAGCAAAATGTTTTAACTTCAATTATATTGGAATTTTTGTTTTTGTTATGTTAGCATTTTTTGCATTAATAGTACATCACTTTATTGTTTATTGTTATATTGTTTAACTTCAAAGTATTACGACAACATTTTAAACAATCGTACTATTCTTATTCTATTTCTCCTCCCCATTTGTATCCGAGCCATACCTTATAAAAACCTTTGTCTACCTCCCTATTCATTGTAGATGTAATTACAGTTTATATCCTCCTAGATCTAAGTCTATAGCTGACTTTGATGCCCCCAGCCCCAAACCCACGTGTCCTCTTAGACTCACTCTGGCCTGTTTCCTGTCTGCAGACTTGCATGTTTTTACAGGGACTGTGTGTTAGCAGAGGGGGGTAAAAGCCTCTTTCTCTCTCTCTCTGTTTATAGGTTTCAGTGTGTCCAAGTACAGGCCACATACGACTGTGCTCTGACATGCTCTGCCTGTGTATGCCATATTTGTACAAAATTGAATTGGAGGCTTTAAACAAAACAGTTTTGTGTATGGTAGGGTATTATAGGCTTGTGGAATCATATGTATGTTGTTGTTGTTGTTTAACAAGTCCTTTGTGAGCGCTGAGTTATGCTCATTAAGTCATTTAGTCCTGGCGAGCACCAAGTGTAGAAGGCCGTCCAAAATGTGATGTTAATTCCTGATTCTTTATGGCATACAAAGTTTAACTGTGTATGTTTTGCTTAAAGGTAATTAAGTCTTTGTTTTGAAGTGGCAGAAATCTTATTAAGCACTGCTGTGGTTTTGTTTTATTTGTTAATTTTGACCTAAATGAAAGTAAATACGTCTTATACTGGTTGTGATAGTAGCAGCATCACAGCATCAAAGCAGGCTACTTTTACAAATAAAAATACTAAAACTACTGAAATATCAGGTAAAGGTCTTGTCATCCTTTTTAGAGAGGGAAAATGTTCAACCAAGTGCTTCTGGGTCAAAGGATCTACTGTACAGTGCTCATGGACCCATCTCCAGATCTTGGTGCTAGTCTTGGTCAGGACTATCTTAACTGGAGGACTGTACATATGATGCATGTTTTGGGTTGATGGGGAAACCGGAGTGCCCGGAGCGAACTCACCCAGACACAGGGAGAACATGCAAACTCCACACAGATAGACCTGGGTGACCCGAGAATTGAACCGAGAACCTCCGTGCTGTCTATTTATATTTAGCAATAAAATTTTCACTAGAACACTTGCAGTGATTAACAAAGGGAAAACCCGATGGAAATGAGCCATACAGTTTGCACCCAGTCATTTTAGAGAAGTTGTGTAATAATAACTTTAATTTATTATTCTGCAGAATTCATCTAGTTTCAGAGGAAACCAAACTACTGCAGCTTTGATATGAACATAACACTGTTGTGTGTGTTAAAGTCCTCTCAGCTCTCTCGTTTGTTTAAAGAGCCCTCCTACATAGAGTAATTGTGCATATAGACATAACATAAGTGTTTGTGTTCTTTTACTGTCATCTGCTGGGACAAATATTTCTGTGACTGTGATTTGCTAATTGGTGACAGATGTCGGAGCCTCTGAGCTCCATGTAGCTAAACACTATGTGCCAGTGTCAAATTATACAGCAGAATGAGTGATGAGAGTACTGTTTACTTTACGTATTGTCCCTACAAATTTACTATAGAAAAATGATCTGGACAGAGCCACAACATGATGAGCAGCAATACTCGCATAACCATTATAATCTAGTGTTTTAATATTCAACAAAATAAAGGCTAACTCTGCATTGTCAGCCTGTTATGACGAACAATAATAGAAATGAGTCATACTGAGTCACACAGGCCTAAAGAAAGCATCAGTCTTAACAAAAACTGGACATAAACTAGAACGATTTGTAAACCACGTATAATCACGTTATTTGGAATTTATTAATATATATGTATAGCTCATACTTAAGGCTTTGGAAGACTTGTTGTAATTTCCTCTGCTCAGACTCACTTACATACAATATAAACGATTCATTCACTCCTCACACTCGTGGTTCAGGTCTTGTGTAGCCACAGTGCCCCAGGATAGACTGAAGGAAGTATGACTGCCAACCTGTGCCAGCTGCCCACCCACCAGCGCTCACCCACATTCACACAGACGGGGATTGAACCAGTGACCTTTGGGCTTGTGAGATGTGAATGCTGTGATCACTGAGCCTCTGCTTTTGGAAAATGTGATCTCAATTTGATTTGTAATTATGATATTTTATTTTAAACTTCATTTTGGTCTGACTACTCTTTGTGGAATCAAGTTGACCCATTGCAGCCTATTCGTCATTTCAGTTTTTTGTTATAGGTGCAATTTTTTCTATATTTAATGTCTGTATATGGCGTAATAATAGCGGTTTACTTTAATGTGCTCTTTCTTTCTAATTGACATCCACATTTTCCACATTTTCAAGGTCCTATATTATCCAAAATTCATTCTTGTGAGCTTTTAGCCATGTTAGAATGCAGAAACCTCATCAAAAACATACCTAAAGTTGAGTTTGTGATGTTATGATGCGATAATTTTGAGAGAAGAACACAGCCTAAATATTCAGGATTTGTGAGTTAAAAATAGTGCAATATGGGCCCTTTAAATAATTGAGAAAATAACTGAGTGAAAGATCCAGTTGGCATGACCAGAAATGAAGAAACCACTTTACTTCTTGTTGCAGATACAAATATTAATATTATGTGTGTTTTGTGTCTCAGCAGATTTTTTGAAGACGCCCAGATAGTTTCCTGAGAACTTCACATATTTCAAGACAAGTCCAAAGTAGCGCCACCATGCTGATCATCTTATTCCTCATCATCCTCTTCCATGTGGCTGCGGCTACTCTGCTCTTCGTGGCCACCATCTACAACGTAAGACAGACAAAATCTACAACTAAATCTGCATTATTATTATTATCATTATGATTTCACTAACTTGTGATGTTGATTTCTGTAGGCGTGGTGGGTGGTGACCCCTACTGGCCGTGATGCGATCTACACCGACTTGTGGTATTCCTGCAACAACACCTGCATCCCAGTGGAGAACAGCCATTCTACTAGTGCTGGTAGGACACTGACAGTTAGCATTTATAAATTAACCATCATAATAAAATGAATAACAGGCTTTTGTAGTTCTTTAGATGTGACAATGCTAAAAAAATTAGGGCATCTGACTTTAATCAACAAATGAAATAAGCGTTCAAATATCAACAAAAGGCAGAAAATGGGAAACATTGAACATATACATACTTTTTTTCATTCTAACAGTGTTTTCTTCATCTCCCCAGCCTATCTGCAGACGGTCCAAGCCGCCATGATCCTGTCCACCATTTTGTGCTGTATCAGCTTCTTTGTCTTCATCCTCCAGCTCTTCCGACTGAGACAGGGAGAGAGATTTGTTTTTACTGCCATTATCCAGCTCCTGGCCTGTAAGTGGCACGAACGTTTGCTCCATAGGCCCTTAAAAATGCTGTGTCATCAGAATCAAAAGCAGCCCAGAAGTCTAACTTTTGTCACATCCAGCTCAGCTGAGAGAAAAGCCAGACGTCTTCCCTGTCCACAAATGCACCAAGCACTTACCTTCTGCACATTTTTCACAAACTAAATCGTTAATATTTTTGCTGTCAGCGTTGCCATGTTTGTTTTGGTTGTCTTGGGTGTAGCGCCTTTGGCTTCCTCACAAGCCTCATAGCTGCTCTGTTGGTCTGCCAGCTGCTGTGAGAATTTGAAGTTTGCACCGGGAGAATCTCAAGACGGATTCTCGTGAGTTTGTGAAGTGAAGCAGACTGTAATATATTTTCAGTAATATACTCTCATGAGATCAAACTTAAGTCTTTTTATAATAAGCTACAATGTTGAATTTTGAAGGTAGAATGTTATTATATTTTGCCTTCATCAAAGTCTGTATAATAATATCCTATTCAAAATATAATTGTAAATGTCTTAGAGCAGGGGTTGGCAAACTATGGCCCGGGGGCCGTATGCGGCCCTTTAAACCTTTTAATCCGGCCCGCCGAACTGGAATAAATTACAATAATAAACCTTGTTGATGTTTTATTTGTCATGCATTTCTAGCCTTTCCCAGTAGATGGCGCACTATATATACACATTGAGTTGCGGCGTATTATGTTGGCCGCAATGCTTTATGGGAAAAGTGTTCTGACAGGAGTTATTCAGACCATGAGTGAAGTAGTTGGTGCTTAAGATATAAGACTGCACTGCTTCCAATTATGAGTTGGTAGAAATCAATCAAGGAAACCTATGGACTCTTAGTTGTAATTATTAACGAGTACAACAATTTGGAGTCAGGTTTTATCACACTCACAGGTGTGTGTCTGTGGTTGTTTGGTCTCAACAGTTTTATTTGTTCTGAGTCTTTCACAGCAGTGATGAAACCTGTAGCACGCGTCTGAAGTCCTAGATAAATGTGAATAAGAATGTGATGAATCTGAGCTCTTAACACGTTATGTCCTGTCTTCTGTCCGGCCCTTCAGTCAAACTTTAGGACCCTGTGAGCCAGAAAGTTTGCCCACCCCTGGGTTAGAGGCTCTCAAATATACATGTAGTTCATGATATGATGGTTCCAAATGGTTTTCTTTGCCAGTATTCTTTTTTTTTTTCATATTTTGAGGCTTAATTTCTCCTTTAAAATAGCATTATGTTCCACTTCACTTTCGCCTCAATTCCACAATTTATGAATGAATTTATAATTTGTTTATGGGTCTATATATGCATCACCTGCTGCTTACATAACACCTAAACACCTCTTCTTCTCCCCCTCTAGGCCTGTGCGTAATGATCGCAGCCTCGGTCTACACTGCCCAGAAGGAGACTTTCCATGGTCCCAGTCTCCGTGATGGTTCCTACGGCGCGTCCTTCATCGTCGCCTGGGTGGCCTTCCCCATGACCCTCCTCAGTGGCCTCATGTATCTAGTACTGAGGAAACGCAAATAGAACAGTAAAAGCACAATACAACATCTATAGAAATACTTACAAGTCCTCCACATTAACTTTTGAATTCTGCTGGTGCACTGTTATCGCCGATTGTGCCAAATGTAAACAAACTATGCCTCGAATGACTGAATATTGCAGATGAAGTTGCTATGAAATTGAAAATCTTGAGATAGTGCCATAGGACATTATATGGTAAATAAACACACCAGATTCAAAATGAGTCAGAGCTGCAAGATTTATCGCAGTCTAATTGAAATGACAATTTGAATGGACGCAATTAGCAAATCACAAAGGTTTTTGAAGTGTCATAATTTCCTCCACAAATAACAAAATATTAAGTTTTACTCTGCGTATAAACTGCTATCCCTGTAGTTTTGATCTGTACAAGCAAGTTCTGAAATGTGATTCTTGTCTTAGTTTGTCAGTTCATACATCTTTTTGCGTTAAAATTGTGAACTTTGAGCTATTATTAAAACATAAATTGCAAATCTTTTCACAATAAGATGAAATTAACCTTATCAATGGTTGCAATCAATTTACGTTGCTCTTTCTGAGCTGCTTATCTGGCAACCTCAGCATTATTAGTTTTCACTCATAGAAATCACGATTCCTATGATGACAAATTAAGATTGTTGCCACAGTGATTAACATTTTAAAACAAATAATATCTCTAGCTTCAACTCCTTGCCATTTCTCCTTTTCTTAAAGCTTCCATATAATCTTGTTTTAGCCCATTTTAGTCCTGATCTAGACTCGGTTCTGGTCTTGATTTAGTCCCAGTTTTGATGTTTTGTGAATGCACCCAAATTCAATTCTAGCAACTACTGTTTTTAGTCTCATTTAAACTGTTCCATCCTCCCAACTAAACCTTATTAGTCAATTTCATATGCACTGTACTTCCAATCATACATTTCTTATTGTATGAATTAAAACACCATTAAAATTATTTCCAAAATTGATTTAAATAGTATGAGGTTATTTCCATGGCTGCCCACTTTTTACTCTTCAAATCAAAATTTTCAGGTAATTTTATTTTATATTTTGGTCGCTTATTCCAATGCACTGATCCAAAAATCACTGATTGTGTATTCACCTTTATCATATAACATACTATTCATTATATTACAAATGTGGATTCTCGTTACCTCTTGCAATATTTTCACAATTGCAAAACATTTAAAGATTTCTGTTGATTTTAAACCAAATTTTGTGAAATAATTTTTGTAAATATTTGCTGTGTATGTATAGTTTAGATGAATGTAGTTCTCCTTAGTTATAGATGTGTAGTGTTGATGTAGTGTAGGCTTTATTTGTAGTATTTGAACTTTCTTGTTACTGACTTTTGTGGGTTATTTTTGTTCTTTTTTATTTTATTTTTTTAAATGATACCAAAGACACACTGTGGCTTTTGGGACAACAACATTGAAACATGCAATTTGAAGCAAACTTGGAAGGAACATTTTTTGTTATACCAAATCTATTTATTTGATCACTGTATTTTCATATCATGTGACTGATGGTGCAAGAAACAAGTATTTTGGTATGTCTCACTTGAAGTAGTTCATAACATTGCAAAGGTAATATTTTCCTAACTAATGACATTGTTGTAGCATAATGCTGTGGGTTATTGCATTGTTGACAAAAGTTTTATGTAAAATAAACTTCATTTGAAAACATTTGCAGATGTTTTTGTTTCACATAAAGCAAAACAAATGCAGAAAAGTAGACTATTTCATTTAGTTATTTGGATAATTTGTTTTTGATAGTTTTGATTTTAACAAATAACTTTACACATAACTACACAACTTAGTAGGGATGTAACAATAACCTGAAATATCGTGATATCATATCGTCAGAGTTCTCACAATAATATTATGGACCATCACAATATATCGAATTACAAGTCTGTTTGCATAAACTAAAAGTTATGGCGCAAAAAAGACAGAAGGAACTACATAGACCACGATCCTTTGCTCCATTTCAGTGCAGACTACAAGAAATAACAGGTCTAAGCACTTTTAAGCCTTAGTTCTTTGGATTAAGTCTTGTCACAATATCACAATAAATATTGTACCGTGACATGTTTATCGTGAAAATATCATACCGAGAGATTTGGATATTGTTACATCCCTAATCGTGAGGCTCCTCACCATATCGTGAGCTTTCCCACGATATTACAATAAATATCGTACCGTAAGGTTCATACTGTGACGATATTGTATCGTGACACTTGGATATTGTTACACCCGTACAATTTAGTAATAACTACTGCAAGGATATCAGTGGGTTTCAGAATTATGAAAAAGTAGGACTGTTACAGTAGTGATTAACATTTTGAAGCAAAATATTATGTAATTTGAATGGGAGTCATCAAACTGTTGCATAATAACAGCTATAACACATGAATGCATTGAAGGCTACAAACACTAATAATTGTGACATAAACTAGTAGCAAGACCTCCATCTAGTGGTTATATACAGTGAAACGAAAGAAGCCCAGTTTATTTCTCTATCCTTTTTTCATTAACCTCAAGTCAAGCCATAGTAAGTAACATTTTAGCCAAAAAAGAGACTAAAATAAATGCATATTTTTCCACAAATTTAACTCTTATTTGGACTGAAGTGGCTTTCTTTTGCTTGTTTCTTGTCTTGGAAATGTTGTTCCTTTGGCTATGATGTTCCACAGTATGGCATTAAAGTTATCTATCTTCTTGGAGAACAGGAAAATGTCCCTCAGTATGGTTTAACTTTCTATTTTCATGGAACCATGCAACTGACTGTCCACCTCCAGAAGAAATAAGAAGAGATAATAATGGTTGTATTTCATAATGATCATGTCGAAATTAAGATGCCATTTATTTTATACAAATTTTGTAAAGCGAGCACAAGTGGATCAATTCATATTTATTCAGAATTCAGTTTTGTTTCATTTATAAACCTGAAAAAGAGGCCCGTTTTTTTTTTTTTTTTTTTTTTTTTTGAAGACTTCTCACTCCTGACCTGAAGAGGGCGCTGATGCTCCTTATAGCTCACTGTAGCCCATTGTCTCATTTCCAACGTGGGAAGACCGGAAGCACCGCTGCATCTTTCCTCCTGCAAATTTATTACATGATTACTCTGTCAGGTGCACTTTAAAAACTCAAATTTTGTTTTACTTACCATTATATGATACATTTAAATTGTAATAATGATTCTGTGCCGTTTGCTCCAGTATATCCCTTAAGAAAAAAAAAAAAAGTGCAAATGGTTCACAACCTCAGCGAAACCATAGCCATAGACTGTAAACATTTCATTATTTTACCATATTTTACCATTTTAACATTCGTATTTTACCATTTCATTACAGTTTAGCTTAATATGTACATTTGGTGATATAAAATGTTTCATGTTAACTAATACGTGCATATTGTTTGATTGTTAGTATGAGGAGCTCGTACAGTGCCAGAGCAGCTGTTTCTGCCTCCAGCGAACAGAAAATACGAATCTCCAAACGAGAGGTACTGCTTTTTGTTCTTCTCTATTAACACTGGAATAGACAGTGTGGGGAAAGCAGAGAGCAGAGTTTAGACGTGCATGTCAACATAAATGCATGCATGTTTGTATTTACTCTACTCTTGCATAACAGAATTTTGCACGTCTTGATAGTTTTCTTTTGCTATTATTTGTTTGTAGCAAATTTCCCCATCATGAACAGTATACCTTTGTGTTTACAGCTAGAACAGTTGGTTGAAGAGGAGGTTGCCTGTGCAATTAAAAAGGAGGAGAGCAATCTGGATGCCCTGATAAAAAATATTCAGCAACAGCTGGGCGAGGGCCTGAACTATGAAGCTTCAATCAAAACGCTGCAGGTGAATACTATCTGATATATCAGTTTGTGACTTTTCTTCAGTGTGCTTAAAAAATGTATTAAAAAATAATAATAAAATAATTTGATTTCTTCCAGGTCCGGATGATGGCAGTAACTCAGAGAGCAGAAGAGGCTCTTGCACATATAGCACAGGTATTGTGAGACTTACTGTATGTTTAAAAAACACATTTATAATCTACATGAAATATCTCTTATAATTTTTTTTTTTTAGAATCCAACACTTTCTCTTGGTGATACCAGCATGATCCAGTATGTAAAATATATTCTTTAATAACAACTGTTATAAAAAAAAAAATATTATTAAAATATTTGATAATTCAGGTCACAAACTGTCAAGACAGAGAAAATAGAAAAAACAGAGTTGCTGGGTAAGTGCTTCACATGCATTTTACTGTATATCATGTTATTCTATTGTGTAGTGTAAATTGATATCCAGTTGTTTTTATTAGACCCAGACAATGTGACAGTGTCAAGTGTCTCTGAGTTTATGGTAAGTATTTTCACCTTGAGACAAAACTTCTATTGGTTCTGTTCACTTTACCTCTTGCTGTTAGTGTGTTTGGAGTGGCTCTGTGCACTAGGTTTTGTTCTATTTATTTCACTGTTGGTTCAGTCGCACTGCTCAGTATTATCCCAAAATGACGCACCATGAGCCACGTGAGAGAACAGCTGGTAAATGAAGAAATGAAGAACTGTGGAAATGCCTGCAGAGGAGTGTGCTGTGATCTGCACACAGAAACACACACACAAACAGAAGGCTTTACTGTGCAGATGAAAAAAAGTGTCTCCATGAGATTAACATGATCATCTTAGGTTCTGTGCAGTCAGCTCTGCAGCTCCCACACATTACAGACACTAATACAAGAGCTTTTTAGTTCAACTTGAGCCATGTGTTGTGGAAGTGGTCAGCCCGAGGCCACAACCTAATTTTTAAATTTTATTTTATTTTTTAAGGAAAAGACAACGAAAAACTTTGAGCGCCTTCATGCAGATAATGCAGGTAACTGTAAGTATACAATACTTTTGAGTAAAAATTAAACCTACTAAAGAAAAAAAATGTCTGTGATTTGTGGATTACAGCTTTGAAAGCAGCCTTTGAAGATATTAAAGAGCGGACAACTCCATCTCCTAAAATCAATGTACGTTGACCAAATGGGGTAACATAAAATATTCACTTTTAACCAGTGGCCACTCGACCCAGGCTCGCTCAGATCTCAGGGTTGGTCCACTTACCATGACAATCTCTTGTGATAGCCTGCTCATGAAATATAATTTATATTCAGGTGTTTGAGGGATTGGCAAAGCTTATACATATCAAAAAGGAACCAGCAGAGCATTCAGAAGACCCCAACTCTTCACTCAAAGCAATAAAGAGAATAAAGGAGGAACCCTGCTCTGCTGAAGTGAACAGGCAACCCAAGAGGATCAAGTCTGAGCCGGTGAGACATGCACATTATGCACTGTTGGTACTTTGTACTTCTACTTGAGTAATATTATTTTGAAGTAACAGTATTCGGCACAGTGTTTGGCTCTTCTTCCACTTCTGAAATGCCTGTATATATTGGGAAATAAATGTATAGTAATTTAGTAGGAATAGGGCAACCTAAATCCTACAAGATGAGACACAATACGAAACTGAGTACACAAGAACAAGATAAATCTCTGACGTCACTCAGTTTCTTTGTTGATAGATTTTTTTCATTTTCATTGAATTTTAAAATTTTATATTACATATATTTTTGCTGATTGGTGGTAAATACGGCTGACAAATCTCAGTGACATGTTAGTCATTCATCTGTTTATTTTCTCTTGTCATAGGAGGAGGTGCCATACCCTCCTTTACCTCCGCTCCCCTTCCCCTATTCCATACCTCTAGAGGCCGCGAAATACAACATGCCCCCCAGAGTAAAGGTGGATTTTGCCATGATCAAAAACCCCTCCCCTCAGCTGTCTCTGGTCTGGAGCCAAGAGCAGGACGAGCCCAATAACTCGCTCATGGACACGTACAGGTACATACAAAATGGCTTGCGTATGCTCAGTCTAAGGCTGTTAGCCATATTATACTGCAGTAGTACAAGGAACTTGATTAAAGCAAAAGTAACTCACAATATTGCCAATAATGTTAATTGGGGCTAACCTCAAAAGCATGTATTGTTTTATTGATTCATATGTTTAAAGGAGACCTATTATATAAAAAAACAAAGTGGCTTTTAGGAGCTTTAACCATGTTATAGTTGTATCCCCTACTCATTTATTCACTCGAAGTTGTAGGCTATTTAAAGTGATTCATGCATATTTGAGTAACTTTAACTTTTCTTTTTACTATTGTATTTAAGATGTTATTGCTCCTGTCACGTCCACAAGTCATTCACAAGTAGATCAAAATTGCAATTTAAAATGTTGAAAATTATCCACAGGTGTCATGATTAAACCATATCTTAAAACATAATGTTGCATTTCTAATACTTCTAACACTAACTTTGAAATACACCAAATCATATTTGCATGGGTATACAAGTTTTGTGTTGTCTCTTTTCAGTATATACATCACTACAGAAGTGTCTCCTGGCACTGGTGTGTTCGACGTGTGGCAGAAGCTAGTAGAGCTTACAGCGGAGCCCCTCCCCATGTTCTACACATACGTCAAGTTCAAGCCTGGACACAAGATCTGTGTGTCTGTGGTCGGCAAAGATACGTTCGGGCGCTATGGCCCTCACAGCAAAGTGACCTGTGCAAATTTATGATGATAACAAATATTAAATGCGCTCTAATTGGATACCTCAGAATGTTATAATTATATGACCTTTATTTTTTTATGACTAAAAATGTTTTTAGTATATGGGTTATGGAAAGAGGAACTGAATATGTCACCTAATATTGTTTACAAACTGTTTTACTATTCTACAATTACAGTATTTCTAAACTATAAATAGACAGAGAAATAAATTTTAAAATGAATTTTTGAAACACACTAGCTGCCATGTTCCAAACAGAAAGTGAACATGGGCACGCTTTTGGCTCCAACTGACTTACATAGAAATGCTGTGGTCCTTCTCTCTGTATCTGCTCCGGTGAGGCTTGGCATTTTGTTTTTAACCTGTTTTACTTGATCCTGGTGTTTCTATTTATCTCTTTTGTCAGTTATATTCCTGTTTCTAATCTGGAGCCTGGTTCAGCATCGTGAGCTTCATTTGACTGAAGCCAAACGCTATGGGTGACGTCACACTCTTTTAGTTCACTTCTTTGTACTTATGTCTGTGGTGGGTAAAGTTGTATGAGTATGTTGAGTGTGCCACCCAACCAGGAGGATTGCACTGGACATTGCCATGGATTTTTTACTCCAAAACTCAATCTGCATGGGTGGATTTGCACTTTTTAGTATGAAATAACTGTATCACAACTGTCTCAACAAGTTTTGTTTTTTTTTCTTTCTTTTATAGTTTTTATTGCTTGGTGTAAACAATGTATTAAATATATCTTGGTGGAAATATGTTTTCTAAAATAAAAAATAAAGTAGTATTTAGTTTATGGTTTTAAGTTGAGATGTTTACGCCTCTTTTTATCATGTTTTTCACGTCGCTTAGATTTCCAATGCGCGCACATGTCACACTAAATCATTTTAATGGACACATGCCGTAGATCCATGCTCCAGCCGTGTCCCAAAGCGAGGGCTGCAGTCTTCGAAGTGTGCGAGGGGCGGGTCCTCCGAAGGCTGCAGCCCTCGAATTGAGACGCGGCTACGAAAGCATGCAGTTTTACGCGCGGAAGTTTCTATGGCGTTTGTTTACGTTTTTTTTTTTTTTTTTTTTTTTTTTTTTTTTTTAACGTCAAGTCTTTGCTTCACATTTATTCCGGAAGCTAAACTTGATGGAGGTAGCGTCTTAAAACTAAACCGTCGGCGCGTGGCAGCGTTGAGTTTGTTCCTCTATCCACATCTTATATACAATGGTGGTGAGGTTTCGTGTTGGTTTGGGCTCAGTTTTATATCTCAGCTGGTTTGTGCTTCTTGCATGATGTTCACAATGAAAGACGTCAAATCTGCCAGATCTGCTCCTTACTCCAGCACACAGAAAGTCCGAGTCTCCAAACGAGAGGTAAAGAGCTTTTGTTGCACTTTTATTGTATTTGAGATTTGACCAGTGTTGGGGAGTAACGGATTACATGTACCAGAGTTACGTAATTAGAGTACAAATTATGAGTAACTGTATTCAGTTACAGTTACTGTTTCAGTGAGTGGTAATTGGATTACAGTTACTTTGTTAAAATAAATGGAATACATGGCGGTATTTTCCTGTTTTCACATTTTGGGCTGTATCCCTTTTTTTTTTTTTTATTTTTTTATTATTATTATTCCACTCATTGCCGGACACTAAACCAGGACTAAATCGGGATTGAACCAGGACTGAACCCAGGACTAAACCAGGACTAAAACCAGGTCTAAACTAGATCTAAAATGGGGCTAAAATCAGGTATAAGCCAGGACTAAACCAGTTCTAAACCAGGACTAAACCAGGACTAAAACCAGGTCTAAACTAGATCAAACCAGGTCTAAATCAGGACTAAACCAGGACTAAAACCAGGTCTAAACTAGATCTAAACTGGGGCTAAAACCAGACCTAAACTAGATATAAACCAGGACTAAAACAGGATTTAACAGAAATAAACCATGCCATGCGGACCGTTTCTCATCCTCTTCTATCAGTAATATTTTTAATTTGGTTAAGGAAAGTCTGGGCTTTTTATTTTCTTTTAGCAGATAAAACATCTTATGTGAAGATATCCGAGTCTTTGCTTCTCTACAGCAAACCAAGTAATCCAAAGTATTCAGATTACGTTACTCACTTTAAGTAATTTAATGGATTACATTACAAACTACATTTTGGGGTATGTAATCTGTAATCTGTAGGGGAATACATTTTAAAAGTAACCTTCCCAACACTGGATTTGACACATATTTACTTAATTAGATCAGAGGTTACAGTTCCACATTTACATTTACTCAAGTAACTTTATAAAGAAATTCTTTTACTTTTTACAGTACTTTTCTACCAGCATACATTTACTCCCACCATATCTTAAAACATAATGTTGCTGAATCAAGAAGAAAAAAAAAATGCATTTCTAATATTTCCAACACTAACTTATACTTAATACACCAAATCATATTTGCATGGGTATACAAGTTTTGTGTTGTCTCTTTTCAGTATATACATCACTACAGAACTGTCTTTTGGCAGCTAGTAGAGCCATTTAATCCTACTTGAGTAATATTTTTTTTATTGAAGTACAGTACTCTGAGTCGACAAGTGATAAAAGCTTTATGTTCATATTAAGGTATGATTCAAATGTTTTTTTGTTTTTTTCAAATTTTTTCTAAGTTTTGTGTTTATTCTTTGAAAATACCTGATTTTGTGCATTATTTGATGCTGTTTCCTGGCTTTAAATTATAAATCAGATGTTATGTTCTTGACAGACTCTTCAAGTCACTCATGCTTGAGCAGAAGCTTCCCACAATACTTTTGCAATTTCTTGGACTACTACTTTGCTCTTCTATTTGAATATTGAGTATTTTTTAAGTAACATTAGCCTTACATGAGTCCAACTTTTGTCTATTCTACTCTAGATCTGTAGATAATTTTCACATGTATGCTCCTGTTTGTGACCACAGCTGAAGAGACTGATAGAGCAGGAGGTTGCCAGTGCCATTAAAAAGAAGGAGAGCAGTCTGGATGCCCTAATAGAAAATATTCAGCAACAACTGGATCAGGGGATAAACTATGAGGCCTCACTCAAAACTCTGCAGGTAACTAAACCGTTACAAAGTTAATCATATACTAACTTCATACTTAATTCATTTAGTTCTTATACTTGATATTTTCTTTTTCTCCAGACCCAGATGATGACAGTAGTTGACAGGGCAGAGCAAGCTCTGGCACATATGTCACAGGTTTCATATATTTTTTGTCTGAAAAATTTAAAATAAGTACTTGTCCAGTTTCTCAAATGCATTTTTTTTCTAACTCTTCTTTCACAACAATCAGAATCCAACACCTCCTCTTGGTAATACCAACAGAGGCCAGTATGTAAAATATATTCTTTCTTTTACTATATTTCTATAAGTACTCTTTAAACTATTCCTTATTTCAAATATTTGATCATTCAGGTCTCATTTGGGCAGTACTGAGACAGTGTCACTAGAACATTCCAGTGTCTCAGAGTTCATGGTAAGTTTATCACTTTTAGAAAACAAAATGTGCTTTGGTTTTGACCTTGTTTCTTCTTATCATTTTCATTTGTTGCCAATGTTGATTCAAGGAAAGGACTAAGAAAGAATTTGAGCGCCTCCATGAAGAAAATGCAGGTAACCAGTAACCAAAATGTATAGCTTACATATCACGAATTTTAAATGAAAATGTATTAAAAAAAAATTAATTAATAGAAATGTGTGGATTACAGCTTTGAAAGCAGCCTTTGAAGATGTGCAACACAAGCAGGTGACGACTTCTTTTAACACTAACATTTCTCCAAAGAGGGTAAGGTTAGATCACTTTGAAGGCTACAATACTACATGGAAGAGTTTTATAACTTCTAAATATGTCATTATTTTTATTTAAATTCAGGTGATTAAGAGATTAGCCACGTTTTTGCAAAATAAAAAAGACCAACCAAAGCTTCCAGAAGATTCTCCATCCCCATCCCCAGCACCAGGACCAGCACCAGGACCAGCACCAGGACCAGCACCAGGACCAGCACCAGTGCCAATGAAGAGACCCAAGGAGGAACGCTGCTCTCCTGAAGTGGACTGGAATCCCAAGAGAATCAAGTCAGAGCCGGTGAGACATGCACATGGAAATACCTGATTTGAACTATTTTCAACTGTAAGCACAGATAATCTGTCCACTGTCATTGATCCCATTCCTAATATATGTAAATGTGTTAATCATTCTAATTATTTATATATTTTTTCTTGTCGTAGGAGAAGGTGCCATACCCTCCTTTACCCGTGCTCCCCTTCCCCTCCTCCTTACCTCAAGAGGCCTTTAAATACAACATCCCTCCCAAACTAAAGCTGGATTTAGCCCTGATCAAAAACCCCTCCCCTCAGCTGTCTCTGATCTGGAGCCTGGAGGAGGACGTGCCCAATGCCCCGCCCATGGACACCTACAGGTACAAACACATTACATGGGAAAAAATGTGTCTCTTTATCTTCCATCTTGCACTACAATATTACATTTCTTGAAGTGAATGCAGTCTTTTGTGTAAAATGTTCAATGTTGTTTGGGAAACCTTGAAAATGGCCTGATTTCCCGTCAAGGTCTTGCACTCCTATGCAGAATCAAGCTTTTACTACATAAAAACTTCAGTCCCACTTACAAATTTGACACATTTTTAAGTGGGACTAAACACCTAAAATCCACCCACAACCACATTGCAAATAGAGCGCTAAACTGGGAAATACCTGCAGGAATAAAGGAGAGATTAAGATAAAGTCCGGGGTCTGGACATATGAGGAACATTGTGATTGGTCTATTGGTACCATATTTTCCGGGCTATTAGGCGCTCTGGATTATAAGACGCACTGTCATTAAATGGTCTATTTTGGAAATTTTTTCACAAATAAACCGCACCAGACTTTAAATGAAACACAACAGTTCGATGAGTCAGTTGGACTTTGTCGCGTTCACGGTGACTCTGGGCTTTGTTCAGTTGTGGCGTGTAGGGAGGGTGCTGTCTGGGACCGCTGGATTGTTGGTGTGTTCGCAGTGACGCAGTTGTTCAGTTGTGACTCAGAGTGGCACATTGGACTTGTTTTTTTGGTTTTTCCTCCGTTCCATTCCTCGTCGGCGTGGAATGATGAGTGTGGCTTCGGGTGTGTTTCGCTGTGCGGTCACTGTCTGCTCCGTGTGTGTTTGCGTGCGCTGCGGCTGGTGCGGCTTTGTAGTTTACTGAAGTCGTGCTGGGACCCCCGAGTGGATTCGTGTATAGGGCGCTCTGGATTGCGGGGCGCGTGGGCGTTTTTTGATGGGGTTAGAGGCTTAAGAGCGCGTCTAATAGCCCGGAAAATACGGTATTCACAGTTTAAACATTTGCCTTAAGTCCTGTGTGATGTCACATAGTACATGGAAGTGCAGTGACCAGACGTGCAACAGAAACTCCCTAATGGGCATTCCTGTGGCGTGTAATCAACCAATCAAACAGTTTTACACTCTCCCGCTTTTTTGCTTCTTCTTGGCAAAAGTCTGTAATGTGTCTGGTTGAAACCAAGCAGCAACATGTGTGTTTGACGAGAGGTTATGTCCCTAAGTATCATTTATTTGTACAGTTTAAGCAATTCCAACGTCATGTTAAATGCACAGAACAGAATGTTGTTAGGATGTGATCAGACCGTCTCCAGTACGTATGCTGACAATGAAAGTTAACAAGTTAATTAACAATAGTATGCCATGAGCCTTGACATTAGCTATAGATACTGACAATTAAGTTACTATAACAGGTTATCAACTATGTTTTTGAGAAATGCTTTGGATAAAAGTGCTAAGTACATAAACATAAACCCCTGGCTTGCTGTAGAACTACGGCTATGCGGCCTCTCAGTACCCAACGTCAATCCAATCCAATCCAACTTTATTTGTATAGCACATTTTATAAACAAACAGTTTCCAAAGTGCTTCACACAGCAATGCAAAACATTTTACTTAAAAAAAAAAAAAAATCTGCAGAATTATGTTTCAAGCATAAGGAGGCTAATAGAATAAATAAATAAAATAATAATAATAAAATCAATAAACAAAAATGATTAAATCAATACATAAAAACAATACTAAAAAAATAAAATAGATAAAAACTATAAATAAATAAATAAAATAAAAGACACAGAGGACCACACAACTCAGACGGTATTAAAAGCCAGAGAATAAAAGTGGCAAGGCTCATGCCGTGCTATTGTTAACTAACTTGTTAACTTGGTTGCTTTCATTCTCAGTGTACGTACCGGAGAGGGTCTGATCACATTCCAACATCATTCTGTTCTGTACATTTAACATGACACTGAAATTGCTCAAACTGTACAAATAAATGATTCGTATGGACATAACCCAAGTACAGCGTTAACACTAGTATTTGTCATGAATGCAGTTTTTTCGTATCCAAATGATTGCCCTTACAGCAGTAGAACTACTACTGTGTTGAAAATTGATAGGTTCACCTTTACACCTATACTCAATATTCAATAACAAGAGAGAAGACAAGAGATTAATATCTTTTACACGCGTGGAGGGAGTACCGAGAGAAGAACTTTAGTTACATGTAACTTGCTGTTCACTCAATACCCTCTAAAGTCTCCCCTCGTTTCTCCACGCCTTTTATTCAGTATTAGGAGCCCTAGTTACATGGGAACTACTCATCTCAGAACGGGAGGGGGAACATGCAAAACATTACAACATGAGTAGTTCCTTTTTGCTTACATACCCATATATTTTCAAAACACAAAAATAACACTTCAGTACAGTGTGTTCAGGACAGAGTTAAGGTCAGTCTTCCCTTCCTCATTTCATCTTCCTTAGTTTATCTTCCTTAAGCAATGGTCGCCCAAGATGTTTCCTGTTATTGAGTAGATATGACTTTATGACCTTCTGCAACTCATGAAATCTGCAATACTCAGAAACAGAATTGTTTAAGTGCACATATTAATACATTGATTATAATAAGATTGAGTAAACAAAAGTGAATATTACATTACCATTACATACACAGTGAGATTAATATAAATGTTGAATCCATCATTTGCAAAAAAACGTTGATTCAGCGTTAAGTTCTACTCTGTCTGCTATTACCACCAGAGGGCGCCAGACACAAAGTGAAAATAACAGACTATTTGAAGCATTTTAATGCATATAATTTTTGGAATAAATATGCCTCTTATTGCTTCCGTTAATCGAAGAATTAAAGATTAAAGATTTTTTAAAGTTATTTACTATGTAGTTATGATACGCTCTTTTGGTGGGATCGTTCTTGTGGTAAATGTTTGTCATAGTTTTACATCAGTTCAGGGGAAATTTTGTTGAAAAAAGTCGACAAGAAAAGTACAAAAATACAGATGATACGGAAGGACCTTTATTTATGTCATCAACACAGAAAAACCCATCCATAATGCAGGGACAATTTGCAGTTTGTACATTCATTTAACAAAATAAAGGTGTCATCATATTTATTCTAATTACAACTATTAGATTAGTTCATTTAGACAAGTTTTGGATCAGATATGGAATTACCTCTGCGTATTTCACATCTGCTGTGCGTGTCCAACCAGGAAATAATATAATAAATTAAAATTAAATTAGCTACAGTATGTATTAGGTACTTAAAATAAAAATGACCATTAATTTTACTGTTTTTTTTGTTTTCAGCATATATCTGACCACAGAAGTAGCCATTGGGTGTAACCTGTTCGGGGGGTGGCAGAAGGTCGGAGAGCACGCAGCAGCGCCTCTCCCCATGTTCTCCCTGTACACCAAATACAAACCCGGGTACAAGATCTGCGTGTCTGTGGTCGGGAAAGACAAGTTTGGACGCTACGGACCCTACAGCAAAGTCACCTGTGCATATATATCTGCTAAATTATGATCCAAAACTGTTTTAATTTTGTATTATATGTATTTTTGTTTTATATGAAAGTATTGCCTTTTTTATTTATATGGAGGTTTTGTTCTGTAATATATGATGGATACTTGGAAAGAAAAAGAATATTTGAATTCAAGTATGAAGCTCTTTAGTTATGTTTTAATTTAAGCACAAGAAAAATGTACAACTGTGGAGAGCAGCTAGAAAAAATCTGTTCAAATCTCCCCTGAGCGTGTATTTTATTTATAAATTTTATTATGTCACGATGAACCATATAGTTCTTTTTTAATTTAATTTAATTTTATTTTTTTTTTTTTCAGGGATTGGACCCAAATATCTGCTAGAATAATACCATGTCTTAGATGAAATTATTTCAACTGTAATTTGTGTTTGTGTTTTCTACATTTTAATAAAAAAATTAGTTTCATGTGGATAGGCCCAGTCATTACAGACATATTCAAAACATCTGCATTTAGACAATTAAAAGGTAAATTCTACCATAAAATTGAGAAGTTAATGTTAAATTAAAGGTTGTATGGAGGATTTTTATTTTTTGTTTCAAATTGTCAATGAAAGTTTAAAATACCATTACAGAGATGTAGCAGCCTTGTATTTATGATGACCAAAAAATAAAATAAAAAAATAGATTACAAGGCTACCTCATTTTCTATTGGCTGTTAGGGTTGCCAATCAAACTCCCTACATTTCTAGTGTAACTGGCTTGCCCGGCGCTCGGGGATTATGTGATTTATGCAGCTGTTCTTAGGGGCTTTTTCTAACTGTAGCTTCCTCACAGTTCGCACAAAGTTTGTTGAGATGGCAGACAAGAAACCACGACCAGTTCACCGCAAAAGGAGGTTATTGAGGTCGCTGAAAGAAGAAGAAGAGAAAGGGAAAAAGATCGAAGACAAACTGAGGTGATTCTTAGAGATTCCTTCCAGTGATGGCGCGAATGAAGCAGACGAAGAATCTAAAAACTGACGCGCCGGTCGCTAAATTATTTCTAGACAGGTCACTTCAACAGTAATTCTGAACAGACACTGGCTGTAAGCAAGCGTGATTTCTAGAGTAAGGAGGAGGGAGCTGTGGAGGATCACACCATTTGAAAAAGGACTTGCTGTATTTCTTTTCCCTTAAAAAATCCTTTACACAACCTTTAAGTTAATGTTAAGATAAGAGAATCATTATTTGGGGAACACAAGAACAGCAGGAGAACAAAAAATATGCAATCAAAAATAAGGATAACTATTAAAAACTTGCTTAAAGGAGCACACTCACTGCGCAGACCCACATTACGCTATTTTCTGATCTGTTATAAAGTTGTTTCCTCATCACAAACAAACCTGGAGTTGTGTTTTGTTTCATTCACACGTTTAACACAGAAATCCTGCATATTTAGGCTGAGTTCTTCTCTCAAACAGAAAACACTCTGTTCCACCCTGTGATGTGTTGATTTCTGTTTTATCTTGCAAAAAAAAAAAAAAAAAAACAATCATAGAGAATTGTTCTTGCAGTACCTTTAATGGTGTTACAGCAGAATTCACAGGATCACAGTTACAAACAGGCAAAAAAGTCAGAGAGTCTACAAGCAACTAGCTGAGGTTTCAGAGAAGTCTGAGGGATCTGAGAGTCTACAAAGCTTGAATTTATTTATTTATTTATAAAGGAAGCCCCTTGAGATGTAGCATCTTGTTTGCGAGGGGGTCCTAAAACATTCACAAAAGCAGCATTTACAGGAGAGAAGGAAAAAACATCAAAACAGAACAAAAGACAAGCAGACTAAGAAAACATTCACACAACACACAGACACCATTCATACTATACAATCCAGGATCCTAAGGTATCTGTACATCTCTGAATTTTATCACCACACCTGTATTTGTAAATTAGTGGGAAAAAAAAAGTCGTTTTTTTAGCTCACACATAAGTCTGGGAAAATCTTTTTAGTTGATATGGAAGCACGGGGCACTTACAGTTTGCATCATTCAAGTCCACTGAACAGAACAGCACTTTAAACGTAGCAAGCATTTAGTATGAAATGAGCACGATAAGTTTATTGTTCACAGATGCTGTTTGGTAATACAGGAAGACCTGCACTGTGTTTTTAAACTCCATACAACTTTACTAGAATCATATGGATCATTTCATTTCTTGAATTGCCTGGAGAAGGAGCTGTTAACCTGAATACTACCTGTACATGACATCACAAGGTGGACCAGAGCATTTTGAGCTTTGGAGATGTAGACAGACTAATAATAAACGAATACGTAAACATGTGTGAATGAAACAAAACACAATTTCAGGTATGTTTTTAAGGAGGTAACAGCATTATAACATAACTTAAAGCATTGTTGGTCGTGACCCTCAAGTGGGTCACAAGAGATTTTTTTTTTGGGGTCGCCTGATCTGCGTGTTGCGCTCTCCTCCTGCATCCCAAACTGGAACATGCTACAAAAACGCAGACAGGCCCACCTATCTCATTAGAAATAGGGGTACGCATCGTTTAATGTGATGATACAGTATCGATATCGTGGGCTGCTGTATCGATATATCGCCAAGAATATTTTTTGGTACATTTTACTGAATTATTTTGTTACAGCACTACAGTTTTTTTGCTTGTCTAGTGGAAGGAAACTCGTTTATGCGACACATTTGACATTTTCACAGTTTTTGCGATTAATGATGAGTAAAATGTTTGTGTTTCATATGAACTTTGCACAAGAAGTGGCTTAACAAAGACTTTTAGTATCACAGCCATCATTTACCCTTTTTTATTGAATCATACCGAATCGATTTGAAATATATCTCATTGAATCGAAAGTGAACTGTAATGAGATATGTATCGAACAGAAACTTCTTAATGATACCCAGCCCTAATTAGAAGTGTTGAAATCTTGACATGTTTTGTAATTGTTTTATTGACTATTTTGTTCCAATATTGCTGGTTCAGTTGAATGTTGAAAAGAAAAGGAAACATGTCCAAATAGGCGACTTATGGATCCTTTTATGGCTGCTTCAATGACTGTTTTTCATTGTTTAAAACTTGAATAATACTAATTGTTCAGAGAGACACGATCACTCAGTCAACAACAAAATATCCTCATTAATGTTCAATAATGGTCAAATCCACCTTTATTTTGTGATTTACGAATAATGTTTATTGACTTGGGTCGCGAAGGTTTGTAACTTTTATAATATGGGTCCCCAGAAATTTTTTTTTTTTGCCTTTAAAGAGTTGATTTTTTTTTTTGTAATATGGGACCTTTAAGTGTTCTATTCTATTTATTAATTGCAGCTGTTTTGTTACTGTGATTATTGCAAATAGTTTCAATATTATACTTTTATTTTAAGCACCATATCACACTTCAAAGTATGTTACTGTGACAGTCCTAGTTTCTCTGCAAACTAAACTGCTTGTGTGCCAGTATTTGAAAGCTCTCCTCTCAGCACGTCTGTCCCTTCCCAAACTGCGCGCGAGCCTCCTCAGACCACTTCTAGCACAACGTTTAAGTTTTATTAGCGCTGACACGGTGGAGGCTTGTGCTTATGAACGCAGCGCTGGAGGAGGTATAAAAAGAACAGAGACACACGATCCAAATTGGAAAAGCAGAGGTGTAGCGCAGAGGGACCCTAAAACGCCTCTTGTCTGCTTATGGTGTCGCGTTTTAGTCTGTCCCCTCTTGCTGTTTAATAGGGTTTGTCGTGACGGTTTAGCTGACTCGGTTGCTTTTCTGTGATTGGCAATTATGAATTAGTTTTGATTTGTTGTTTTCAGAATGTGATGTGACCCTACTAAAGGTTCACTTTGTAACTTTTTAAAAATTTTTGTGGAGGGTCCAACACCTGCTCGTAGTTACAGCTTGGTCTGGAATGTTTCACAGTATGATATTTAGGGCTGTGCAAAATTATCGATATATCGTATTGTTTAATGTGATGATACAGTATCGATATCGGGGGCTGCTGTATCGATATATATCACCAAGAGTATATTTTGGTATATTTTACTTAGAGAAATATCCCGCATACTGTCTTACTTGCAAATTTTGAGAGTTATTAGGACAAACCGTGCAACGTTTCGGCACTCGACATTGTTTGCGTGATGAAGGCCTAGTGCCGAAACGTTGCACGGTTTGTCCTAATAACTCTCACAATTTGCAAGTAAAATGGTGTGCGAGTTTTTTCTCTATGTTCTTGGGCTGCTCCCTCTCCTCCAAGGCACCCGTCTCAAGTAATTAATGTGCGAAGTATTTTATATCGTTGGTATATTTTACTAAGTTTTGTTGCTTACACAGTTTTGTTGCTCAAAAAAGAAGTTTTGTTGCTTTTTTAGTGCAAGGAAACTCATTTATGCAACACATTTGACATTTTCACTGTTTTGATGATTAAAACGTTTGTGTTTCATATTAACTTTGGTTTTAGAAGTGGTTTACCAAAGACTTTTAGTATCACAGCCATGATTTAGCCATTATTTTTTATTGAACAGTATCAAATTTATTTTAAATATATCGTATCGAATCGAAAGTTCACTGTATTGAGGTATGTATCATATCGTGGCCTATGTATCGAGATATGTATTGTATCGGCAATTTCTTATGATACCCAGCCCTAATGATATTAAACAAATCCATCTCCATGGAGACAAGCGCCACCAGGCCAAGTTCCAGAGCAGATCTGTGGAGACATTACTAATTTTGTTTATTGTAAACCACAAGTTGACTACTGCAACTTTTATACCCCAATCCATAATTTTCAGCTTTTCATCAGCTTTTGTGAATTTTCTATTTTAAAAGTGATCTTAGCCTAATTCAAATCACCATTACTGAACAGTGCTGTTTGCTTGTAAGTGCAGTTTCACACCTGAACACTAGATGGAGATGTTGCACAAAAAATGACATCTGAACATTTGTCAATATTTCATTTCTTGCAGTAAAAAGACAGAAAGCTGCAGTGCACATAGAACACACACATGCTTAAATCCCATATAGTCCTGCAAACACATTTTTTCATTTTCTATCATTTTGTCACACGATATAAAAATATATTACTGATCTATTTTAATCCAACTACCCAGAGTGAACCAGTTGTAATGATATTTGATGATTATACCAGATGCCCTTCCCTGTCAGTATATGCTCATAGCAAGATTACAGTACACCATTGTAA